TGATCTTCATCAGTAAATGTTTTAAGTCCTCTTCACTGTTAGCAAGCAAGCTTGTATCATCTGCATATCACTGCTGTTTACTTTCCTAAAATAACTCACACCTCTCTGTTACCTCGGAAAGCTTCTGTGTTATTTTGCTTTCTAGTCTGGCTCTGCCATCCTTGCTCTCACTGCGTCTCTCCTGCTATACTTGTCTCTGTAACCTGCCCTGCACTTTTACTTCTCATCGCCTGTGCCTTTGCTTGTGATTTCCCCCTGATTCTAGAAGCCTTCAAACTCTCCCTTTTCTCCATTCTCTGTAGAACTTCAGATAACTCGATACTCAGTTATGAAGTTCTAGAAGTACTTTCATTTAGCCTGTATTGTATGTTTCTACCACACTAGATTTCAAACTCTCGGCACAATATTTTGTGTATGTGTGCTTGGCAGACATTTAAAAGGATAGATTACGGTTGATCAGATTAGTTGTGAAACATTGCTAGACCTAGGGATTATCTTCCCAAAACATTTGCATCGATGTTCCTGCTTTCATGGATACAAGGGAGCAAGATAACGAATATGGGATTCATGTTACTTAAGAAAATAATACTGTTCATCTGACTGAGATATAGCATATGAGCACAGAGTTGAGCATCTGATAGCTGGGAGGAAGAAGGTAGGTGCTGAGGTGTAACCTGGGGATAATTCTCTGAGGTGACACAAGACTTATATGAATTATGAGAGCTAGAAAGGAACAGGCTACAATGAGAGAAAAATTATAGATTCAGCATTAGACTAGATTTTGTTGTTAGGTGCCACCAAGTAGGTGCCAATTCAAGCGACCCCATGCACAACAGAACAAAACACTGCCAGATCTTGCACCGACCTTACAACTGTTGCTACACTTGAGCCCATTGTGCTGCCACTGTGCCAGTCCTTCTCACTGGGATGGGGGCGGGGAGTCTTCTTTTTCTCCAACCCTCTGCTTTACCAATTAATGATGTTCTTCTCCAGGGACTGGTCCCTCCTGATAATATGTCAAAAGTATGAGAGATGAAGTCTGGCCATCCTGACTTCCAAGGAACATACTGGCTGTACTTCTTCCAACACAGATTTGTTCTTTTGGCAAGCCATGGTACTTTCAATATTCTCCTCCAACACCATAACTCATATTCATCAGTTTTTCTATGGTCTTCCTTATTCACTGTCCAGCTTTTGCATGCATGTGAAGTTGTTGAAAATGCCATAGCTTGGGTCAGGTGCCCCTTAGTCCTCAAACTGACGTCTTTGCTCTTCAACACTTAAAAGAGGTCTTGTGCAGCAGATTTGCCTAATGCAACACGTCATTTAATTTCTTGACTGCTGCTTCCCTTGAAGGTGATGGTTGATCTGAACAAAATGAAGTCATTGACAACTTCAATTTTTTTCTCCATTTATCTTGATGTTATTTATTGGTCTTATGGTGATTTAGACTCTTACAGTTTTTGAGATGGAAGAGTCAGGGTGTGAGGAATGAGAAACCCAGTACTTCCATGACACAGGAGAGGGGTGAGAACTGAGCAGGAAAGTGAGATCCCAGCAGGAGAGGACATGGTCCAGTTCACATTTTAAACCAGTAAGATAACTTGCCCCATTTTTGTAGGAAGAGTTAGATATTAGATTCAGCATATAGTTCTGTAGAGACTCTGTAACAGATTCAGCATATTAGCTAGATTTTTATATCATAAATATAAAAAATATAGTACAGTGTGTGTATGTACATACACATGTTTGTTTGTGTGAGTAACTATTGCACCTTATATTTTGGTAATTTCTTTGGCTGGTTCAGCTATCTCCAGACTGAGCTACTGATATTGCAAAATCACTATCATGCCAAGTCTTATGTTTCTAGTGGTGGTGGTGGTGGTTATGTGCTGTGGAGTTAGTTCTGACTCTTAGTGACCCTGTACATGGTTTCCGAGGCTGTAAATCTTTATGGGAACAGAAAGCCTCATCTTTCTCCCACGAGACAGCTGGTAGTTTCGAACTGCTGAACTGGCGGTTCGCAGCCCGATTCATAACCACTATGCTGTTTCTAGTAATGAATAAAATTCTCCTTTTTTTTTTTAGGTTGAATGTAATTCTCGCCTGGACCCTATAAATACAACTTTACTAAAGGTAATGTCTTTCTTCACTGCTAACCATTTGTGAGTAAATCATACATGTTTCCACACAGGTTTCATTTCTATGATTCTGTCATCCTCTTAAAAAAAGAAAAGGAAAAACTTTGTTGAGTATTTTCTCATTGTAGAAAATAAAAAAAAATAAAAATAAACAGAGAAATCAAGAAAGCAGAAAATAATAAAAATTACCCATAATCTTACCCAAAGGTAATCTCTGGGAAAATATTGGTGTATTTTTCCTATACACTTTTTTTTTTAATGTTTTATTGTGAATTATATGATAGTTTACATGAGAGAACTTTAGTTTTACATTCAGTCCATTGTATATCATTTCATTGCCATGGTTCCAATCCCCTCCATGCATCATCAACTGACCAAAGGGTATATCCTAGAAACCGCTCCCTACACTCTCCCCTACATTCCCCCACCCCAGTCTTTGGCCTACAGTCCCTTTCCCTTTTTGGATCCAAAGTCCCCAGCCGCTTCACCGTGTCATCGTCTCTGTCTCTATCTCGGCTCTTCTCCATTGATGGTCCTAGAGACCTCCGCTCCTAGACTGGAGAATTAATCACTCCCTTCCTTGCTACAAAATGTCTACCTTTGCATTTCCAACCCTCATAATCAGTCCTGATAACCATTCTTCACTACAGTATCACGAGTTACCCATCTGTATTTCATTTCATCAGCTCCGCCTAGACAGATTGGATATTTCCTATACACTTTTATATCATCAAGATCATAGATCATAGTGTATTTATAGATTTAGAGCTTTTTTTTTTTTTTTTTAACTTTATGGCATAACCATTTTACCATGTTAAAGTATTGTTTTGAGAATTTAGTAAGATAAATGGGTGGAACTTTTTTACATGCTAATCCTACAGTATTGCTAAAGAATTTTCTGATAACTTTCTAATGGTGGTGGATGTCATTTTCTTGCACTTAAGACAACCAAAGCAACATTTGTATTAAATTTCTAGGGGTAGTATCAAGTTTCTTCCCCTTTTGATTGGACTTGAGACAAGATTTCAACCTAACATTGTCTCAACCTAGTGTTTTCTAGAGTCTTTACTAAAATGTTTAGGTAACTGGCCTCTTAGTTTGAATCTGGACTACTGTGGATTTAAGGGCTGATCTTTTTTGTAGCTTTCTGCTACTTCTCCAACCTGAAAGACCTCTGTCATCCTCCTTTTCTTTTGAAGTGTGCTAGAAAGGGAAGTACTGTCGTAAGAAGCAGCCCATAGTTCCTAGAAATGTAACATGTGGGTAAAATGCTCTGAGGTGACCAAACTTTATAAGTTTAAGTTTCTGGCTCCAGGTGATTGATGGGCTAGTCTAAAATATTCATTAAAGCAAAAAAAGTAGGTGATTTTAAATTAATTTTTCACTACAGGCTTGATTTGATCATTCAAAAGCATAAAACTGAACACCACCGTAGCCATGTTGCTGTTAAGTCCTGTTCAGTTGGTTCCATCGCATGGCGATAGCGTTTCTGAGGAGCCTCTGGTGAATTTGAACCACCAACCTTGCGCTTCAAACTGATCTTGGGGTCCAGACTTATCCTACAGTGGCACTCTACCTTACGGTGCAGTGCTTATCCCACCAGGACTCCCATATTACTGTTGTGAAGTGTCACAGAGTCAGTTCCGCCTCATAGAGACCCTGTGTAGGGTTTCCAAGGACAGCTGGTGAGCTTGAACCACTGACTTTACGGATCAAACCAACTTTGCAGTGTAGCGCATTAACATGCAACAGTACACCAGGAACCCAGGACTCCCACAGATGTGGTTATTTCTGGGCAAAAATATCCATCTATGACAGCCTGAAACAGAGTGGATAACTCCTGTTTGCTAATTGAACTGAATGTCAGACTATCTGGTAATTTCTCCCACTATTCTTTTTGTGCATGCGGGAACTGTTTTATAGTCTTCATATGGTTCAGACTCCTGAATTCACGAAAGCACAGCCTGTGCCGTTTTGGTCTGTTTCACATTTAAATCAAGTTAAATGTTTCTTTCTGATATTATGCTTAGGATTTTCCGAAGACATCTTTGTTCGTCCCAAATGCCTACCCTTTCTGTGGCATTTCTCTGTGCTAAATGACAGTCCTTCTGAAAGGAAGTTTAAATGCAGTGACTTGAAACCATTTAAAAAAAAAAAAAAAGATCCCTGCAACCTGACTGGGATAATATGTGAACACAGAGTATATAACAGCTGGGAAAAAGAGGGAGGCTCCTGTTTGGCTCCGGTGCCCTAGTAACTGTTCTCTGCCGACAATCAGAATTTCTATCAATTGGGAGCTTGTGACAAATGTAAATTCTTGGGCCCCATCCCATATCTATTGAATCAGAATCTCTGGAGAGGAACTTAAGAGAATTTGAGACTCCCTGCATTCCACTCATGGTTCCCAGGCTGTGCAATTTGGGCTGCCAGATTTGCCTGGCAGTGCCTCCCTGCTCTAAATTCTTCAGGGTAGGGACAGACCTTTGGGCATCTGGGGAAAACATACATGTTCTAACCACATGTGACCAGTACACAATCAGGTACCTCAAGTGGGTTGAAGGGATATGGATACCATCACTAAGCAGTATTTTTACCAGATTTATCATCTTTTTTTCAGCTACTTTAAAGAAGAATGAGTAGAACTCAAGGGTAGCGTTTACATGCCATTTTTTAGTGGTTGGAGTTTTGGGCCTGTATAGGGTTTTTTGTTTGTTTTTTGGTGTGGTGCTGTGGGTTAATGTGCTGGACTGCAAAATCATTTGAACAGCAATGTCTGGGTTTAAGCTGACCAGCCGCACCTACAGTGTCGCTGTGGGTTGGAACCAACTTGATGGCACTCAACAACTACAGCAACTATAGCTGATGGAGTCCTGATGTGGCACTGTGGGTTAATGCACTAGACTGCAAAGTCGGTTTGAACTGCAAGGTTGGCGGTTCAATCTCACCAGCTGCTCCTAGGAAACCCTATACAGGGTCACTATGAGTCAGAACTGACTCCATGGCACTTTAGAACCACAACAACTATAGCTGAGCCACTTTGGATCTTTCTACTGCTGTAGGCTACGTCATTTCTGATTTGTTACTTCTGATTTTCTATTGGCGAGTGAACTTTTCTCATTCACCATTGTACAGCTCTGTATGCATACTCCTTTATTCTGAGGGATGGAGTGTTGGCATGCGATGGGAATTTTCACTTGATGGCAGAGCTTCCCAGCCCATTTTGAATCAGTTCTTTGCATCTTTGCAGTACCCTAAGTTTTCCAAAGTTAACATCATCTATGGATCTGTGGGCGTTACTCGAGACAAGTGGTGCTTCTCATTGCGCAGATTGCTGTGATACTTCCTGTTTATTCCTTCCAATTTCCCGTGTAGGGGACAAAAGTCTATGTCAGATCCAGATTGTTACTCCAGTGGTCCTGGGTCAGAACGTGTGTAGTTTTAGTTGTAACGAGTGTCTGTAGATGATCAGAATTACAAAGAGTCAAAGTCTTCTCAGATTAGAGAACGCTGAAAATCTTTAAACAGAAAGCTTAACTAAACTTGGGAAATTGATAATTTCATTACAGCCTGGCATTTATACCTGCTGATAGAATGAATTCTTCGCATGTTCTCCTGTTTATTTAATTATTATAAGTGTTATCCAAGGTTTCAGTGTTGTTGTTTATGCTTTACCTTTGTTGTTGTTGTTGTTAAGTGCTGTGGAGTCAGTTCTGACTCATAGCGACCCTGTACAGGGTTTCTGACGCTGTAAATCTTTACGGGAGCAGAAAGCCTCATCTTTCTCCCGCGAAACAGCTGGTAGTTTCGAACTGCTGACCTTGTGGTTCGCAGCCCAATTCCTAACCACTACGTTACTAGAGCTCCTTATGTTTTACCTTAGAAAAGAAAAATTAAATTGTAGTTTATATTCCAAGATATCTTTTTAAGAAACTGGGTTTTAACAAATCCTCCAGGTAATTCTAATGCATGTTGACATTTGAGGATTTCTACCCTAGAAATCCTTCCTTGCCCAGGTAAAAATAACCAGCTGTATAGGTTTATGACCTGAGAGGCAGCCTCACAAATCTATTCACAAGGGATTGACTGATCAAGCAAGTTGCCCAAATTCAACATCAGGGCTTGACTGGAGAATGCTCTTTATTCATAATCGGAAGGGAATTTAGAAAGCACGCTGTCATTAGAAGTTAGGGTCACAATGTTCAGGGACTCTGAAGATGACGTTCTTCAGGTGGATACATACCATACTTAAAGGTAGTGGTTAACTTCACTGTCACCCCTAATATATAATTTTCACCATGGGCCTGAAAAAACAGGCCCTCTGCATTTTACAAACTTGGAAATTTTGAATACTTCATATTCGTATTCAAGGTTGTTGCTGAGACTTTGTATAAGGATACATGGAGAGATGTACACTTGGATGCAGTTAAATTTAAAATCCATTTCTCTTTTCAGTTTCACATGACTCAAGGATGTTCAGGGCATTTCTTTTAAGTGTAAATCCCAGTGACTTACATATTTTTCCTCTTCTAGATGGCAGACTGTGGGGGGCTGCCCCAAGTGGTTCAGGTAAGGAGATTTTTTTTTTTCTAAATGCCCATTTGATTCTACCACTCTGCCTGTGCAAAGATTAATGCTTTCTTATTTTGTACCCCTAGCCTGGGAAGCTCACCGAGGCCTTCAAGTACTTTTTGCAGGGAATGGGCTACAGTGAGTAGTACACAACTTTTTGTATAACTGAGGTTTATAGACATTGGAATCATTTTGACATCTGGGGAGCCCACAGTTCTCAGGGCATAACCTTTGTCCTGACCAGCCTTAAGTCAAGTTGAAACCAAAACATCTATGGAGCATTCATCTTGTGTGGATATGTAAGATGAGCTAACACTTACCTTAAACCCTATATAGGGTCGCTGTGAGTCGGAATTGACTCCTCAGCACATGACCACTACCACCAACACTTACCTTAACAGTTGCCTGGGCCGGACACCATATTAGAATTCATTGTATCATTTAATCCTAACAGTAACATGTAGAGGCAAGTTCTGTTATTAGGTTCATTTGATAGAAGACGAAACTGAAGCTCAAAGAGGTTAATTAAATTTCCCAGAGAAACATGTAAGCTGCAGAACTCACATTTTCAACACTAACACTTAGGCCATCTTGCCTTTGACTATGAAATTATGATTTGCATTTGAACTCAGCGGATTAATGGCTCCTGCCTGGCCTAGAGAAACAAAATAGAGACTTCCAAAGAAAAGGGTAATGTCCTCAGTTAAATCTGCTCCACCACAGAAGGTGAACTTGCAAAGTATTTTGGAGTAAGTCCCAAACATGTGGCCATATTATCTGCCACTCTCCTGGTCATTTGTATTGTGTAGCCCTGAGCTTTCTCAGGTGGTTCAGAATATCCTTCCTTGGAGTTCTAAGAAGGAAAACCTTCTCATCCAGGTACAGAGCTCTATTATCCAGTAGAATGATTTTTTTTTTTTTTTTTTCTGTGCTTGGTATCATTGTATATAGTGGCCATGGTGAGCTGCCTGGTCAACTGCTCTGGGCAGTCGTAGTTGGACCCCTGGATGCAGCAGGCAGACTGTGTACGTCTTGTCTGGAGTGGCTGTATGGTCCTTGTCTGTGAGCCCCTACCTACTCAGCCCACACTCACTTCCCTCTGGCTCACTGGGAAGAGCAGGAGTCCTCCTTCTAGCCCATTCTCCATTGCTTTTCCTTGGAAATCGTTTGTCTTCTAGCCTGTTTCTAATCCAAAGCAAAATGACTGTTTACAGTGGATAGGAAAGCAGTTCTTGCCTTTGGCTGAGAGAATAGCATCTGAGATGTTGTTGAAGCATCATCCAACCTCAGCACCTCTCAGGGACCTAAAATAAAATTTCTTTCCTGACTTAGAATATTCTGTCAGTGTCAATTAGGCAGTCCAGGTTGCCGCCTGGCACTCTTGGGTCACTAACCTGCCTTTTCCTGTGTCCATCCTGCTTCCAGTCCCGTATGTGCAGCTCAGTCACCTGGGCACCGAGTCAGGTACCTTCCTTTGTGCGGCCCTGCTCCTGCCTCCTGGCCACATCCTCCTGGCTGCATTGACTGCTTGCAGCATGTCTGCGGTTTCCTGTGCAGTGACAGCCTGATAGAACGTGGCCTACAGGTCCAGCCTGAGCCCCCCATGAGGAAGAAAAGCTCTAACACGTTTATCATTACAAATTCAGGATGCCAGCAGAAGCTGAGACTTTCTAGCTTTTAGACATGACCTACTGGTGTCTGAGTTTAGCCCAGGCCCAGAGATTGTAGGGCAAACTTGACCCTAAAATAGGAATGCCAGAGCCTGTGCCAGAGCACTCTGCTTGTGATGGCACCTTTCGACTTTTGTATTGAAGTGACAGCTGAGTGAGGACAGGCAGCAAAGTTAAGCCAGGTAGAGCTGGAAGGTCGAAGCAATGACTTGATAGGTGACTTCTTCCAGTCCAGACAACCAGTACCTCACTTCCTGTGTAGAGCTCAGCTCTAAGTCCATCTGCTCCTCCCTACACTCCCACCTTCCTCCATGTCTTCCCAGACAGTCAGGGTAGTCTGTGGACACGGATGGCGGTCTCGTTGTATCCGGCTTGCACTGTTTGTGAAACACCTTTGTACTTGTGTAGTTTGTCTTTCTTTTCTTGGATTAGTCTTGCATGCACTGCAGGTTTTGGTTACCTATTAGGGTTCCCAAAATCTCCTTCCTAAGATAACTGTAGAGATAGTGTGGCACAGCTAAGAGGCTATGTTCCAGGCTTAGGGCTTCCCCTTGTTCTGCAGTAGACTAGAATTAATATAGATTCTAAGCAGATCCAAAGGATTTAAAGCAGCCTTGCATCTAGCCACTCACTGAGAGCAAATAATGCGGAATGGGGATGGCTGTACCCTGACCCGGTGTCACCCTAAATGGTTTGGGAAAGCTGAACATGAAGTCTTTGGTGGAACTTTTAGTTTAGTGGAGTCTAACCAGGCTCCTCCTTCTAGTCCTCTTGGTTCTCATTCTCTCTTTCAGTACCATCTGCCAGCATGACCCGACTTGCCCGGTCCCGAACCCACTCAACATCGAGTAGCCTGAGCTCTGGAGAAAGTCCATACAGCCGGTCTCTCATCAGCAATCAGTCAGATGGAACTCAAGGAGTCCCTGAGTCCTCTGAGGACCCAGACAAACAGGAGACCATGGAGGTGTCCTGCTAAGCAGATGCCCCTCCCCTGGACCATGCAAGTCCATCTGATCACTTCATAATATAACATTTCATTCAGCAAACTGGCATCTACTCTCTTTAACTCATGCATGGCCACTGACTCTCTCTCTCTGGTAGCCTGAATTTATCATTCTTTCTGCCCACCTGCCCTTTTTTCTATGTACCAAGAACCACTTTTCATGCCATTTCTATAACATTCCAACATCAGTAGTTGATCAGATCTCCATATCTTCTCTTACCAGCTTTTTCTTGTGCGCTCTCAACTATGTATCTGATAAGATTCTTTAATCCCAACTCTGTGTGTGTGCGAGCACATGTGTCTGTGTTTGTGTATGCATAGTTCTGTGATTTTAGACATGCTTTACTGTAGAGCTTCTGCAACAAAAGTGGGGGGGGGTTTCTTTTGCTTTTTTCAGTTATGTTTTTAGGGGAAATGTACAGAACAGATTTCTATGTTGGGTAGGCCAATGCATTCTCTTTTGATGCCTAATTGGTCATTAAGATTTGCAAAGTGACTTCAGGAGAGACAGATTCTTAAGGAATGTGGAAAATCCTAATTACTGTTTGAACCTCTGATTGTTTGTGACCAATTAGAGAGTGTCTGTTTCATAGTGAGGTAGGCAGGGATACTAGTCACCTCCTCTGTCCAAATGAATTCATAAATGCTATTTATTCTATAATTAAAAAGGAGGGGTATATTCTGTTAGAGGCCCATGAACAATAAGTTTCTGATGCAACATGGAGTTTTTCCTGAGGAGTGAGTGTGGCTTCATTACTAGACTCTCTTAGCCAGAAAGGTGGAGGGGGCGTGGGGTGGGAAATGCCAGACCTCTACTCTGCAGGGGCACAACAGCTGTCACTATATGTCGGGTGCCACTCAGCATACAAAGCATCCACAAGAAGTGCCTCCCACATCTGTGATGGAGAATTCTCCTCCACCCCTCAGTCCCAAAAAAAGGGAGAGGTATGACCTTAATATTACATAGTGGTGAGAAAATGGGTTGGGAGAAGCAGAGACACTAACACAGTGCACAATGTCATGCTTCATAAATACAGCTTTGATTTCAGAAGACATAATAAAACTAAATGAAATTTGTGTTGAACTCATTTCTAAGAAAGATGCATCATCTCTTGAATGCCCTTTTGCAGTAGGAGAGAAGGGACTAATCTGTTCAGGGTGGCCCTGTCCAGACAAAGCTGTTTTCAGCCTCCTGCCTCCTGCTATGTGAGGAGTCACAGCCAGCCAGAGATTATTGCTGGGAGTGCAGTGAAAGAACCATGGAGAGACCACCTGCCCACAGCCAGGGCCCAGCTCCTGAGAGCATCAGATATAAGCTCAGGGTTCCACAGGTCTGAATGTGGGGAAGGGGCTTTTCAGATACATTGTTTGCTTTTTGCTGAGATAGGGAATGTGCCACTCTGCCAGAGTGCAACTTTTTAACAGATTATTAAATAAAGCTGTATATGTCTCATTGTTACCCGATTGCTGGTGTTATTTCTCTTAAGCCACTTATTAGAGCTCAGGGAGAGACTAAGTCACTGGATGAGAGCTTCTTACTGGACATTTCACAACATGACCACTTAGTCTATCCAGCAACACTTTCTATTTACAGTCAGGAAGTTAAAATAGGATCAATAGTTTGCCCAAGGTCAAACAGCCAGTTAAGTTCTGCCAAAATGGAGCACACCCATATTCCCCTCAACCCAAAAATTGTGAGAAACCCAACTGTGCTGTTTGTGAAGAAGCAGCTGGGATCCTAGAAGGTGTTCTGCGTGTCAGCTCTACCGTGTGTGCAGGGTTGCTGGGCACCAGCCCTCATGTAATAGTCTGTAGCTTCTCTGGGCTCCTCTGAGAAACCAGGCTGTGTAGGCAAACCTGAGCTATTACAGGTTCAGTTCCAGACCACCACAGTGAATCTAATACCATAATAAAGCAAGCCTTACTATTTTTCTTGTTTCCCAGTGCATATGAAAGCTATGTTTAGACTAGACTATAGTCCATTAAGCATACAATAGCATTATGAAAAAGTTAGAAATACTGCAATGCCGAGAGCCTGTCCCGGCATATTTATTCCAGGGTTTTTCCGAAGGCGGGTGCGGACGTCGGCGATAAGGATTGCATGGAGTCATGGATCATGATAAATTCAAAATCTTCTTATTACATGCTTTATTATTATTATTTCTATGGCTACTCTAATACTCTACTTCTCTCATTCTTTACTGTCCTGCTCATTCTTTACTCCCCTGCTCTCCTGCTCATTTCTTCTGTTTCCTTTCTCCCCTCCCCTGCTCCTGTTTTCCTTCTCTCCTCTCCTGCTCCCCTCCTGCTCATCTCTTCTGTTTCTTTATTAGCTACCCCTCCCTCCATTCTTGTCTCCTTCTACTTTCCTCTACTTACTCTTACCTCTACTTCTTGCCTCTACTTCTTCTTCCACCTCCTTTCTTCTACTTCCCTTCTTCCCTTCCTCTTTCTTTCCTTTCATCCCTTCTACTTCTTCCTTCTCTTCATTCTTCTTCACCTCTCCCTTCTTCCTTTCTCTTTCCTTCTCTCTTTGTTCTATCTTACAACCCCCTTATATATCATTACAAAAAACATTGCTTTCATAGTAATCAATGACATTAAGGTACAATCTATCTTGGGGCACATTCCTTATGGTTTACAATTCTTAAATTTACAACAGGGATGGGAAGTTACAGCAAAGACATTATCTCAAGGCATAGGAGACATTCAGGCGCCTTGAAACCTTTTTAGTTAAACATTTGTTCCTACATAAATCTATTCTTTTCTCTGAGAGGCAAGTTAACCTTCACATATTTCTTAACCTTTGTCTGTTAAGTCTTGTTAATTTTAGTTGTTGGGTGCAATTAACTCTCCATTAACTTCTTCCATACACTATCTGTTTATCTGTTTATAGCCTACAAAAACATCACTTATCAGGGAAACTGAGGCTATGAAAAACAACTTCTCTAATTTACTGATCATTAATTTAAGAAAGTCTAGGTCAGACTTTTTATTTAGTATCTGTATATACCCATAGCCTTTATCTATATTCTAAATGTTTTTAGAAATTCTTGTACCCACAGCCCATATTAATGGCTATGGGATTCTTTATTGCCTTAAACTAAGGCTACAAGGAAGAATGTTTACAATCACTAAACCTAAGCTGGTAGTAATTCAATTGACAAATCCTGTTTCCTAGCAGTCTTAAGAATATTGTTAATATAAGTATTAAAACTACCTAAGATTACAAGTAGAATAAAATGTAGCTAATGTGTGGCTTCTAACTTTTAATGAAAATATACTAAAGTGTAGGAGAGTCAAAAATCTAAAGTAAAAGAGATACTAATAAAATCATGAATAAATCAGAAAATGATTTAACAAGAGAAAAATTTAACTAGGGGTCTGTACATAAAAATAATAAAACAACTCGTTGTGGCTGTGCCATCCAAAGAAAGAAAGAAAGAAAAGAAAAAGTATTTCATTGTTGCTTTGCAAAGACAATGAATTCTTCATGTGCAGGTTCCCCCATGTCTCACTTATTTAATTCCTCAATTAATATGTCTCAATTTATTTATTTTAATTCCTTAATTAATTATGACCCTGGCCACTGCAAGGATTACTAAAATGGATCACAAAGTGAGTACCTGCTGTTGGTCAAACAGCACTGATAAACTTGCTTGACACAAGGTTGCAATTGATTTAAAACCAAAAAAATAAAAACCTGTATCTGAAAAGCACAATGAAATGAAGTATAATAAAATGAGGAATGCCCTTATTTCTTCTGAGATGGCTATCTTTGTGCCTTCTAGAATAATTCCATGATCCCTCATCCTCTCAGATCAGGTTTCAATGATCCAGGGACCATAAGCATTTCATCACTGCATCTCCAGGCTCCTTAAGCACATCCTTTTGCTGCCATCCAGTTTGCTGCATCCATTTATATCCATAAAATGCCATAGACCCTACTGTCTCTGGTAGAGAGGAGGGAACAGATGCACATGAGCAGGCATAGGTTACCAGAGTTCTGAGCAGACATAGGTTACCAGAGTTCCGAAGTTGGAGCTGCTCTGAAGCCTGCAACAGCTCTGAAAACCCACATTGTTCCAACCTCCAAGCCACATTTGGATTGGATGGTCACCTGCTCTCCCACCTGAGACAGCTTCTTCCCTTCCTAGCTCCTCTTCTCAAAGAACGAGGGGGAAAAAATGCTGCTTCATGAGAAGCCAGGAGGTCGCCAAGTAGACTACTCAGGTGAGCGCAAATGATCTTACCAAACTCTCCTGTAGAGCTTGTGTTCCACTCTCATGGTGACCCTACAAAGTTGGCAGTGTTTGAGGAAAGTGAAGTGATTTGGTCAAGGTTATCTAGCATGAATAATTAGTTCTGAGTTTGTCTAAAATCATATTTCATCACATTTTCATGTTATTCAGTTTCTTGTTGAGTGCTCACTATATACCAGGCACTTAGTGCTTTCTTGTAAGTTTCTTAGTATTGACCCCATAAGATACACACTATTCCCCTTTTCTCAGTTTACAGTTGATCTCAAAACTAGTAAGTGGTAGGCTCAGGATTGTGAACTTGTCTTTCTAATTCTTAGGTGCCTTCTTAACTGAAAAGGTTGCTATATGATGGCGTTCTCTTAAGAAGAGGCCCAAAATTGTCATTCTTGACTTCCTACCTCATTTATGGACCTCACATTAAGGCCAGTCTTGGAAGTCTGCCTTCAGATAGAAGGAAAGCATGGGAGTGGTGTGAAAACAAGAGCAGTTTGGCTGGATCATGTTTAGTTTCCTCCCCGCCCAGGGCCCTGTCCTTGAGAGTCTGTCATCCAGTCTAACTTCTGATTAGAACTCTTTTACAGAATTGGTGCCTACACTGGTCTCCTCCAGTTCTGTGTGCCAAGTGCCTGTGGAGTAAAGTATCAAACCTGCCTTCTCCAGGAGAAAGGACAAGACTGAGGGGCCAGCAAGAATATTGAGAACCTGAGAAAT